TAATCAGGGGTTTGTCCAATACCACACAGTATTATTGGCATGAGCATCCAGTTTGTGACGACATATGGAAAAGTAAACATACACCAGAAGAGTGAACCTTAATGTAAACTATATTTAGGAGATGATAATGCCTCCATGTAGATTCATCACCTAAAGCACTGGCGCTCTGGTTCGAGCTGCTGACAGTGCAGGAGGCTATGAATGTGTGGGGTCAGAAGGTACATGGGAATTCTGCATTTTCTGCTCAATTTTTCTGTGAGCCTAAAACAGCTCTAAAAAAAAATTACATTACGAGCATCCCCACCCTCCCCTGGGAGACCTATAGGCCCAGATCACTAAACTCACCAGATACAAGGTGCGATATTTAATAGCATCCGCCCTTCTTATCATCATCAATCGAATCCTCTCTCTCATCTCCTTCATTTCTCTCTGAACACTTGCCACCGTCCTCGCTCCACGTCTCCTCGTGTAAAGCATGCCTTGATTCAGCCCCAGTTCAGACGCCTTCAAGTTGTTTCCTATGTCCTGCTGTTGGGGTGAAGGTTTTGGTGGAAGGGAAGGGGATTCGGTACTAGGGGTGAGAGTCAAGTTACTAAGGTTCTGTGCTAGTCCTGAGACAGCTTGAGGGTCAGCTGAAAGAAAAAAAAAAAAATGCAAGATCCATTAGGGTAAAGTGAATTAGCCCAAGTCACTAGTCGCAGGCTCAAACTAGGCCTGCCCTTACACAGGTGAACATGGACAATGGAGGTTTCTCAGGTGGAGGATTCCTTCTACCCCCTGCGTTACCGACTGCTAATGGAGAACTCTCCACAGTGGAGGGCATACATTGAGAACATGCTTTAAAATCCACTATTATGGGAAACATTGCCTTCAAACCTTTCTTTTTCCTGCTTTTGTTAGTTCTGAATGTTATATTTTTTCATGACATCAAAAGTAGCTAAGTTGCCCTAACTGGTTTGGCTCAGTGGATAGAGGCGTCCTGTCAGAGCGTCGGCCTGCTGACTGAGAGGTCCCAGGTTCGATTCCGGACAAGGGCATATACCTTCGTTGCGGGCACATCCCCAGTAGGGGGCGTGCAGGAGGCAGCTGATCAATGTTTCTCTCTCATCGATGTTTCTAACTCTCTATCCCTCTCCCTTCTTCTCTGTGAAAAAAATCAATAAAATGTATTTTTAAAAAAGTAGCTAAGTATAAAATTCCAAGAGGAAAATTATGGGACAGAAACTAGGTATTGGAAATTATTTCATTTTCATTTGTGTGAATGCTCAATATAAATAAGAGGACATAAAGCATTAATAAATCAAAATGTTTCAGCAGTTCAACCTTGTAACTGTAAATCCACTAAATTTTTCTAGAAAAGAACCACTCCAGTGAAATAGTTACAGAAAACTCCCTTACAACAGTCTCTCCCCAGCCTTAAGCAGAGCTAGGAAGTTTAAATGGCTTCTCACAGTTACACTCAGATTTTTCATGGTAGTAAATCTTTCTACTCAAACCTGATATTATGGGAAGTCAACCACTTAACTCTTGCCTCTTCCCATGCAAACCACTATGCATATCTCATACACATTCATGTCATACAATAATAAGGCTGTGAATGGGCTTACAATATAAATTAGGATTTCCTTAGAAGCAGTGTTCTGGGATACTGCTAAGTAGGTCCCCACCTTCCTGCCTCCTTTCTGTGGCCTAATTTTTCTGGGAGCCTCACCCACTCCCAGGCTCATTCCTTTGAAACATTTTCCTGACAAATGGTGGCTGAATAGTGTGGCTGATGATGTAGGACCTGGAGCACATTCCCTGGTGTTTATAAACCCAACCCTTCCCTGTGTTTCCTGAAAAGCCATTTTCCTGTTTATTAACATTCCCTAAAGGGAAGATTTAGCTAGAAAGACAATCCCGAAAATGTTGGGAAGATTAAGAAATCTTGCCCAGCCAACCTGGCCTAGGGGTTGAGACCTATGAAACAGGAGGTTATGGTTGGATTCTCGTCAGAGCACATGTCCTGGTTTCGGGTTGATCCCCAGTGGGAAGGTGTGCAGGAGGCAGCCAATCAAAGATTCTCTCTCAACATGGATATCTCTATCTTTCTCACTCTTCCTTCCTCTCTGAAATCAATAATAAAAAATATATAAAAACTTTAGGTTAAATTGAAGTTAAGTTTCTTGTGTTCTGTTCCTTTCCACCATTCCCGACATGTACTGCTGAGGGAAATACTGATTGCGAGATTCTCTCAGAATTCTGGTTGCTCTTCCCCAGAAAGTGGACTGAAAACATTGAAGTCTTCCTACGCATTGTAAGCAAGCAAGGCAGTTTAATACTCTTCCCTTTTTTCCTCTCCCCAAGATTAAAAA